AGACAGACAGACAGACAGACAGACAGACAGACAGACAGACAGACAGAAGAGAGAGAGAGATACACAGAGACAGAGAGAGAGAGACAGATAGACAGGAGAGAGAGAGAGAGAGAGACTCAGAGAGAGAGAGAGAGAGACAGAAAGGCAGACAGGCAGAGACACATACACACACACACAGAAACAGAGACAGAGACAGACAGACACACACACACAGAGAGAGACAGACAGAGAGACAAAGACAGAGACAGAGAGAGAGAGACAAAGGTAGACAGGCAGACAGAGAGAGACAGAGAAAGATACAGACACACGCACACACAACAAACTATTACATTCTTTTTTAAATCTTTATTCGTCATATTTTCACAATTAAAAACATATTTTCACTCATTACAGCATGTTTGTAACGGTGTTCACTCACATTGACATATTCCTAAGTATGTGAATTATTACTAAGTATTGTTACAATTATTTTTACATTCAATTTATGACATATATTCATATATTTACACGGTTATTTACATAGTTATGCACAATATTATTTCATCTTACCATAACCTTTCTTTCATTTATCTATTTTACGAGAGACTATTACATTCTTGTGTGGGTCTTTTGTGACTGTGCTATTGAGGAGGTTATCTGACAATCGCCTTCAAAAAAAAGAGTGGGGGGGAGGCCTCATTTTAGGATTGCTCTGTAGATCTTGGTTTCCTATTAAATGTAAAGGTCGAATTAGTTAGGGAGAGCAAATAAATCATTCCCCTTTATTGAGATTTGATCCACAGTTGGTATTAACTGATCCATCTTCATTGTTTAGCAGCTTTCCTGGGATTGGGGTGGCCAGAGTGAGTTCAAGCTCTTCTTTTCTTTTTCCCCACTGAGGCTCTTTTACCAATAAGCTTCCTAAGAGTAAATGTCTAAAAACCCATTCTAAAAAGAGCGGGAATGAATTAAATTGAAACAGGTACACCCAAAGGCAATACAGGTAGCCCTCAAGACATACAACCACACTTTATTTTTCATGTGACCCCGGGACATAACAACTGTCATAAATATGAGTCAGTTGCCAAGCACCTGAATTTTGATCACATGACCAAAATGAGATGTTGTAACGGTCATAAGTGTGAAAAACAGTCATAAGTCCCCCTTTTTCAGTGTCATAACTTTGAATGGTCACTAAACAATCTATTGTAAGTGGTAGTCTCCCTGTAATGCTAGTAGAGGAAATAGCTGAGGTTTAGGTGAACGAAAGGAGTCAAGCAAGGGATTGGACTAGAAGACCTCCAAGGTCCCTTCCAACTCTGTTATTCAATCTATTCTGTTCTAAAGTAATTTTGGTCTTTGTGATTGGAATTGTTTTTAATGTAAGATGGTTCCCTGCCCAGCGTCACTTGCTGAGATGGTTGGCCACACAAATGAAGCAAAATAAATAAGTAAACGGAGCACCAAATTAAAAACAAAAATTGGGTGAAAGGACAGAGACAGCCCCATCACAGAAAAAAACTAAATTAAATTAAAATAAAATAAAATAAAGGCTTGGATTCAGTTGGAGACTCCTCCAACTGGGGAACTGGGCAGGTGGGCCACCATTTAGAATTGAGAGGGTCGACCACTTCTTTGGATTTGTGCCTCCTTCAAGAAAAGTCATGATTTCGATCCAGTTCTGGCACTTGGATCCCTTCTGGCAAGAGCCGAGTAGAGTTTTTACTTCCATGGCAATCTTTGTCTCCAAGTGCCATGCTTTAATTCTCTCTACTCCCCAACCCTCTTCATTTAATTAACTTTATTGTTTCAATTTACAGCCTGCCCTTCTATCTGTCTGGCACTCAAGGCAGTTAGCTATAAAAATAAAATATGACATGACTAGAATACAAGATTTCAACAAAAGCTTAATTATTATTAGTCGGGTTCTTAAGGGCTTGAAGCCTGATGATGGCAGATGAGATTCTGCTGAAACGTTGCTACAACTTTAAAAGAACTACAATGACGTGGGAAAATACCCGAACCAAGCCGAACACCATACATGTAAGTACCCGCGAAAACTTAAGAAAACATATATATATATATATATATATAT